TGGGGCCTGGGATGGGGGTGAGGGGGGAGGTGTAGGGGCAGGTGTAGCACTTCCTGCAGTTGCAGGGAAAAGTGCTGGGTGTGATGGGGCTGGAGGGGAGTGTGGAGCGGACAAGGGAGTCGCGGAGAGAGTGGTCCCTCTGGAAAGCAGATAAGGGTGGGGAGGGAAAAATGTCCTTGGTGGTGGGGTCGGATTGCAGATGGCGGAAGTGTCGGAGGATGATGCGTTGGATCCGGAGGTTGGTGGGGTGGTACATGAGGACAAGGGGGATTCTGTTTTGGTTGTTATTGCGGGGAGGGGGTGTGAGGGATGAGTTGCGGGAAATGCGGGAGACACGGTCGAGGGCGTTCTCGACCACTGAGCGGGGGGAGGTTGCGGTCCTTGAAAAACGAGGACATCTGAGATGTTCGGGAGTGGAATGCCTCATCCTGGGAGCAGATGCGGCGGAGACGAAGGAATTAGGAATGGGGGATGGCCTTTTTGCAGGAAGGTGGGTGGGAGGAGGTGTATTCTAGGTAACTGTGGGAGTCGGTGGGCTTGAAATGGATATCGGTTTCCAGGTGGTTGCCAGAGATGGAAACAGAGAGGTCCAGGAAGGAGAGAGAGGTATCAGAGATGGTCCAGGTAAACTTAAGGTTGGGGTGGAAGGTGTTGGTGAAGTGGATGAACTGTTCGAGCTCCTCGTGGGAGCACGAGGCGGTGCCGATACAGTCATCAATGTAACAGAGGAAGAGGTGGGGTTTAGGGCCAGTGTAGCTACGGAACAGGGATTGTTCCACATAACCTACAAAGAGGCAGGCATAGCTTGGGCCCATGCGGGTACCCATGGCCACCCCCTTTGTCTGTAGGAAGTGGGAGGAATTGAAAGAGAAGTTGTTGAGGATGAGGACGAGTTTGGCTAAGTGGATGAGGGTGTCAGTGGAGGGGGACTGGTCGGGCCTGCGGGACAGGAAGAAGCGGAGGGCCTTTAGGCCATCTGCATGGGGAATGCAGGTGTATAGGGACTGGACGTCCATGGTAAAGATGAGGTGTTGGGGACCAGGGAAATGGAAGTTTTGGAGGAGGTGGAGTGTGTGGGTGGTGTCACGGACGTAGGTGGGAGTTCCTGGACCAAGGGGAAGAAAATGGAGTCGAGATAGGTGGAGATAAGTTCGGTGGGGCAGGAGCAGGCGGAGACAATGGGTCGACCAGGGCAGTCAGGTTTGTGGATTTTGGAAGGAGATAGAAGCGGGCGGTGCGGGGTTGGGGAATGATGAGGTTGGAGGCTGTGGGTGGGAGGTCACCTGAGGTGATGAGGTTGTGGATGGTTTGGGAGATGATGGTTTGGTGCTCGGGGGTGGGATCATGGTCAACGGGGCGGTAGGAGGTGGTGTCGGAGAGTTGGCACCTGGCCTCGGCGATGTAGAGGTTAGTGTGCCATACTACTATACTATACGCCATACTATATACATAACTAATCATCATAAGTTCTTCAAGGTTTCTTTTTATAGAAAACTGATGTTTCCCAATTATGTAGAGGAGGTTAAAGGAATTTATTTTGAGATCTGGCACATGAATATCATAGCAGGCAGTTTTAGCTTAGTCGTCTGCATTTATCTGTGAGATGGACAGTATGAGATTAAGCAAAGACAGTGGTGTAGTTGTATTGTCACTAGACGAATAAACCACAGGACCCAGACCAATGTCCTCATGATATGGGTTCAAATCCTAATACTTTCAATTCAAATTTGAAACCAGGTCTCAGCGACGGTGTCATTAAACTATCATCAATTGTTATAAAAGCCTGTCTTTTACGGAAAGATCTTTGCCAGTCACATTCTGCTGATTTTTTTGTTTTAGAAACCAGAAAAAAAAATTAATTATATATTTCACCATACAGAATGCAGGTGGGAACATTCATTCTGATTGAAGACTGAGTTTGTGAGGCTTTAAAGCAGGTTGGAGGATCTCTTCACTTGACTCTGCAGAAAGGGATTCATAGTATAAGCCTCACATTGAAAGGAAGTTCTGGGATAGGAAGTTCTGGGATTAGAAGTTACCGTGCTGGGAAAGCAAAATAAAAAGCAAGCCATCAGGTGCAGTGAATAATTTTAGATCGGTTCTTGAAGGATCTCGTGGCCACTTAATGAACAGTGTAAAATATAAACATTGCAAGAGATTTTCAGTTGTGCTAAATGTTAAATGGGGGAATTTCTTTCCTGTAGTTAAAGTATAAGTTGCCTAAGAAAATTAAAGTGTTTAGTCAATGGTGTTTTAGTCATTTGTTACAGTCAAAAGTTTTTATTATGAAATCATGACATCCATTCATTTAACTGTTAACTGGAAGTTTGAATTTCTCTTAAGATTATCAGTCCCTATGGAGATTGTTACAAAGTGCAAGGCTCAGTATAGGTTGAGGAGATTTTCTTTTGGTCAAGGCTTTACTTACCAATAGGATCAACCCATATCCCTATGGCGTCAATTGGAATGTCTATTGTTAGCTTCTGCAAGTCTGGGTCATCAATGCAAACACTTTCGTGGATACACTTGGCCAAAAGGCCAGCAGCTTTCAGATTCCCATCTAGCACTTTACCCAGCAATTCTGCTGTTTCTTGTTCTGTTTTGCAGACTTTCACAGTAATGGTTTCACCTGTAATGGGGAATAAAGGAACAAGAATGATTATTGTTAGGTTATAGTTCACCAGAGTTGTCCAAAGAAACAAAAGGTTATATCAATTCAAAAATATTGTAATAGTCTAAAGTGTGCCAACTTTCTTCAATCCTATATTCAATTCAGTTTTGTAGGTGATGATGAACAAAAAGAACCCTCACAAGTTCCATTCAAAAACAAGCACAGTATGGTTCAAACTTCCTGGTTTGGAGCCTATCCTGATAGTACTGCTTTGGCAGAAATGTCATGAAGAAGGACAAGTCAGCAAACACTTTAAGGTTGACCCTGCCCAAATTCCTCCAAGTGTGTTTTACAATCTAGTTCATGTATGAGAAAATCAGTGACTAATAACTGCATGAAGTTTATACTTGTGGGAAATACTTTTAATCTGATTTGGTAAAACTGGATAACCCATTATTATATGGTGATTAAATAAGCAAATATGGTCTCAAAGATTATGAACCAACAAGTTCATACAGTCCTTGTCATCGGGCACATACAATTTTAAGAGATACTGTTTGGCAACATCTGATTAAGGGTTTCTCAATTTCATCAACTAATCCAAAATATGAATGAGATTTGCTTTAGAATTTATTGGTAAATGCCACTTTTGCAGATTAGGTACAAAAGAATGCATACCATATTGCTCAGCAAATGAGTCATTAAAGAGCACAAAAGGAAGACTGCCATAGACACAGACAGCAATGAATGTTCTTCAGACTTGTTGATGGCGGGACTATCCTATGAAATGAGACTGAGCAGACTGCACCTATATTCCTCTAGAGTTTCATAAAATGAGAGGCGATTTTATTGAAATGTACAAAACACTTGAAAGAACACTTTAGATCGGTTAAATGCAGGTAGCATGTTTCCTGTGGTTGGAGATTCGAGAACCAGGGGCACAATTTTAAAAATAACAGGGATGCCACGTAGGTCCAAGATGAGGAGAGTTTCTTTTACTCAGAGATTTGTGAACCTTTGGAATTTTCTACCATAGATGGCTGTGGAAGCTCAGTCTTTGAGTTTAAGGTACAAATTGATAGATTTCTGATTACCAGTGGCAGACAGGGTCATGGGGATGAAGTGGTTAGAAGGCATTGAAAGTGTCTGAGAAGCCACGATTGTGTTAAGTGGTACAGCAGGTTCACCAGCATCAATGGCCTTCTCCCGTTCTTGAGCTCCTACAACAGATTTGTTGCAATGTATCTTTAAGTGACATGATTCAATAAGTCTCCAATTCACAGCAATGTAAACTGCCATTTAAGTTATCAACTGCAAATTAAACACTAATAGCCCATAAATAACAGTACTTAATTGTAGAAATTAATTCAGCATTTATATTCTATTAACATGCTGTGATTTTTATTAAATTTAATTCGTGGGATTCAATTACTGTATGCCAACAAGATCTATTTTAACCATTAAAAGTTGTAAGAGCAAAGGTTTTCTAAACTGCATGTAGTTCTTGTGTAAAAATTAAAGCTGAAAAGTCACTGGTGCTTCCAAGATGGCTCTCATGAGTGAACGAATTGCTTGGTGTGTGGTGCAGAACCAAAGATTTAGAAAGATGTCAGAAGCAGCATGTGGTTTAGGCTGAGTTACCAGATGTTTTTGGTATGGGGGTAGTGCTGTCATTGGCCTTTTATTAGCAGTCCAGCAAATCTGACCCAAAAAGTAATGACCCAGCTAAATATTGATCTTCAGTGTCTCCTCCCTGACAGGTTTTTTATATTCTTCTTAAAACTCTGTAAATTGGTGTGGGTGACATTCCGGAGGTGGTTTAATGAATTCACAAGATTACAATGACTATGAGATTCTAGTCGCTGTCCTATGACTGCTGTTGGGAAGTAGGTTTAATGTTGCTATGATCCCAACCTGGGCTCATGCATCAAGAATGGAAATTTGTGGGAGGCTCTGGGGCACTTGTTGGAATCACTGGTATTGAAACCATCTAGAAAAGAAGGAAAGAAAATTAAAGGAGAAACTCTACTAGTGTTCTGACAAGCAATTTATGTATTTCAGCAAGAAAATATTAGAGCCTTGCCATCAACTTCACTTTGAGTTTAAAAAAAGACCAATTATGATCAATATCACCATCTATTTTTCTGTATCTCTGTGAACTTTATGAAGTTTTCATTAAAACAAAAACGAATGTGATAGGAATACCAGCATAAAGAAGTTATTGAATCTGTCAGGACAGAGCTGAATTACTTCTTTTTTTAATGCATTCATGGGATAGGGGCTTCACAGGCTGGGCCACTATTTATTGCCCAATCCTAGTTGCCCTTGAGAAAGTGATGGTGAGCCTTCTTGAATCGCTGCAATCCGTTTTGTGTAGTTAGACCAACAATTCCGTAAGGAAGGGAGTTCTAGGATTTTGACTCAACAACACTAAAGGAATGGATGTATATTTCCAAGTCAGAGTGAGGAGTGGCTTGGAGGGGAACTTGTAAAGGGTGGTGTTCCCGTATATCTGCTGCCCTTATCTTTCTAGTTAGAAGTGGTCCTGAGTTTGGAAGAGGAGTCTTGGTGAGTTACTGTAGTGCATCTTGTAGACGGAACACACTGCTGCCACTGAGTGTCAGTGGTGGAGGGAGTGAATATTTGTGGATATAGTGCTAATCAAGTGGGCTGCTTTGTCCTGGATGGTGTTGAGCTTCTTGAGTGTTGTTGGACCTGCACTCGTTAAGGCATGTAGGCAGCATACCGTCACACTCCTGACTTGTGGCTTGTAGATTGTGGACAAGCTTTAGGGAATCAGGAGGTGAGTTACCCACTGTCCTGTAGCCACTGTATGTGTATGGCTAGTCCAGTTTAGTTTCTGGTCAGTAGCAATGTTGGGACGTTGATAGTGGGGCATTCAGTGATGGTAATGCCATTGAATGTCAAGAAGTATTGATTAGATTCTCTCTTGTTGGAGATGGTCATTACCTAGCACTTGCATGGGTGATTGTTACTATACACTTGTCAGCCCAAACCTGGATATTGCTGCATTTGGATACAGACTGCTTCAGTATTTGAGGAGTCATGAATGGTACCAAACATTGTGCAATTATTGGCGAACATCCCTACTTCTGACCTTATGGTGGAGGGAAGGTCAACCACCTACAGCTACATCATCAATGAATATAATAATTTACTTAAAGCCAATTCATCATAACTATGTCTTATTTCAGGACCTTTACATTTGAAAACTTGACTGTTCTACACGATTATGAAGTAACTAAGTAAATACTAGTAACATACCCAAACCATTTTCAAATTTGTTGGATTCCTCTCCAGCGATGTGAGGTGCAACTTCTGGAAACTGATTTGACAGACAAATAATTACTAAAGTTTCTGAAGGTTACTAAGATCGTTTAAACATACAGTTAATTAAAACACAAGATAGCCAAATAATTAGTAGCGACAAATTCAGATTTGCAAAGCAGAATCATTTAATGATATGTACGCAATGTCAGCCCAACCTCTGTCCAGACAAGCCCCCAAAGTGAACCATTGAGGGCAAAATGTTAACTGAGTTCCTCTAGTCTGCTTCCATCCACTTAAACTTAGAGTCCCTCAACTTCTTGCAAGGGTTATCAATGTATTATTCAGTTTTTTCTTGGAATTTAAAGTTTAGATTTGTGTTTCTAAAAAAAAAATTGCAAAAAGGACTATGTTGTTATTTACAGTGAGGTTAATAGCTGGCACACTCCAAAAAACCTCAGCAACCATTTGTCATGTTGGATAGGTAACTGGGACAATATACTACAGCACACATTCCCTGATGAGGTGGGATATTATTCAAAGTTAAAATAAATTAATATTTTTACTTAAAATAATGTGGTAATTAAGACCTTTGAAATACACTCAGTTTGCGTTATTCTTCACACATCAAATGACAGTACCATCCTTACAAACAGAGCAACTTGTTCTGAAGGATTATAATAATAACATAGACCTTTTCTCTTCCATTTTCCCCCATTCGATTTTTATTTAAATTCTTGGAGCAACTTTCTTGCTCATTATGTTGAGAAGTCAACATGATCAGTTGACCCTCAACAATGGAAGTAGAATATTCTTCAAATTACTCTAGGTCAAGTCGGCATAAGGAGGGGGGAAGTGTTGGGTATTCTAAAAGGCATTAGGGTGGACAAGTCCCCAGGTCTGGATGGGATCTATCCCAGGTTACTGAGGGAAGCAGGAGAGGAAATAGCTGGAGCGTTAACAGATATCTTTGCAGCATCCTTGAGCACGGGTGAGGTCCTGGAGGACTGGAGAATTGCTAATGTTGTCCCCTTGTTTAAGAAGGGTAGCAAGGATAATCCAGGTAATTATAGACCGGTGAGCCTGACGTCCGTGGTGGGGAAGCTGCTGGAGAAGATACTGAGGGATAGGATCTATTCCCATTTGGAAGAAAATGGGCTTATTAGTGATAGGCAGCATGGTTTTGTGCAGGGAAGGTCATGTCTTGCCAACTTGATAGAATTCTTTGAGGAAGTGACAAAGTTGATAGATGAGGGAAGGGCTGTGGATATCATATACATGGACTTCAGTAAGGCGTTTGATAAGGTTCCCCATGGTAGGCTGATGGAGAAAGTGAAGTCGCATGGGGTCCAGGGTGTACTAGCTAGATGGATAGAGAACTGGCTGGGCAACAGGAAGTTGTAGTGGAAGGGAGTTTCTCAAAATGGAGAACTGTGACCAGTGGTGTTCCACAGGGATCCGTGTTGGGACCACTGTTGTTTGTGATATACATAAATGATCTGGAGGAAGGTATAGATGGTCTGATTAGCAAGTTTGCAGATGACACTAAGATTGGTGGAGTAGCAGATAGTGAAGGGGACTGCCGGAGAATGCAGCAGAATATAGATAGATTGGAGAGTTGGGTGGAGAAATGGCAGATGGAGTTCAATCCAGGCAAATGCGAGGTGATGGATTTTGGAAGATCCAATTCAACAGCTAACTATATGGTAAATGGAAAAGCCCTGGGGAAAATTGAAACACAGAGAGATCTGGGTGTTCAGGTCCATTGTACCCAGAAGGGTACAGGTCGATAGAGTGGTCAAGAAAGCACCCACAACCCGAGCTACAGATCTACGCCAAAACCTTAGAGTTCATGTGACTTTGGACTGCATTGAGATTAGTGATTACAGAAAAGGAATCTCTTATTTGAAACCAGACACATGGTTCAAATGCAGTATTTCACCCAGCCTGCCTTTCTGATACAATCAGCACCTTTTCTGCAATATCATTCTTAATCACTTCTTGAATGATGACATCTGCCAGAGTCTTGAAATCTTGCACAAACTTCTTATTTTTATCTGGTCCTTTTTTTTCTTCAATCAGAAGCTGGAACAGTTCTTCTTCCCGTTTACAAGCTCGAGCAATGTTTGCTGATTTCTCAGAAGCACAAATCAAGGCAGGTAGGATACTGGCCATTGCAGCAAGTTGTTAACCTTAAAAAAAAAATACAGAAATGTTAAGATAGGTGATGTCGACTACTTAAGTTCTTATTATTTAAAAGCAGTATGCTGTAATTCTTACTTAACTAAGCCAGATTCAGTAGTTGTTCTAATGTTTAATCATCAATTACTCCTTTCTGACAGATGTCCCCCATACAATTGGCGTTACTGAGCAGCTTTGCCATTCCCCGAGTTAGAAGCACTATGTCACAGTGAGCCATTTCCCAAGAATCAGAGGACTGTGTGTCACTTGCAAAACTCAAGTGTTGACCAGTAGAGGATTTGTTTCTTGAGATTCTTGAAAAGCACAATCTTTCTGAAAGATTCTTCCCTGTTCAAGGTCAGTTTGGACCACAATAAGATCAGCAATGAAGTCTTCAAGCTATTAACAGGAAAAGATGGGAGACAAAGATAAACTATTTCCATTGGTTGGGGATTGTAGAACTAGGGACATGGTTTGAGAATTAGGGCCAGACCATTCAGGCATGATGTTAGGAAACAACATGCAGGCATGCACACACCTAGTCCCCATTACTACAATGTGGCTGCAGGCTGAATGGCAGAACAGGCTTGAAGGGCTGAATAACCTATTCTCGTTTCTTGTTTGTAATGTGTCTGAATATTTTTTCTACCTCTGTTTTGCTTCCGGCTGCCACTGATCAGCTGATTTAAAGGAAGACGTATTTATAAAGCAACTTATCATGTATTTCAGAAACATGAGGTAACTACTATGTAGGAACACATAATAGCCACATTACACACATTATAATTTCACAATGAGGTAAAAGCCAAATTTATTTGATGGTTGAGGTGCAGTTTGGTTCACACAGGGATGTTAGCCAGGACACACACTTATCTAGTATGGAACATTAAATCAGACTCAGTCCTATATAGAGAAATCTAAACAAGGATTACAAGTACAATTTTCTGCAGAACACAACAAAAATAGGGGGCTGAACTATGAGAAGGATGCAGAGATGCTTCAGTGTGATTTTGACAAGTTGGGGTGAGTGCGCAAATGTGTGACAGATACAGTATAATGTGGATAAATGTGAATTACTCACTTTGGTAGCACAAACAGGATTATTATCTGAACGGCGATAGTTTGGGAAAGGATCAATGAGATGCCAGTAGTGATCAAAGATATTTTTCATCTAGCAGCCTAATCAGAAACCACTGCAGCAATTTCTGTACAATCAAAGAAAAAATGTCTCCATTGGAAGACTTTCCACCATAGCTTTATTTTCATTTTTCCCCTCAAATATCACCACATGACTTTCCAAGTTAAAAGAGTAGAAGGAATCCGAATACTCCTCCTTCAACGTATATCAATTACTCATATGTTTCAAAGTGGCAATTTATTTTAAATGAACTTTTGATTTTGAAAACTTGCACTGTAGTTAAGCAAGGGCTTATCTAGAATATTATAGAGGAGTCACAAGCATTTAAGCACCATTTTTATTATCCCTGAATCGTTCTAATCTATCCATCTTCCAGGCAGAATTGAACGTGGGTCTTGTACTATACTTATGTATTTTTGTACAGTGGTCAGACATCTTGCATTAGGTTTATCTGTTCTAAATCATTGGAGATTTCATGTTGAAATACATTGACAATACAATAATAAATTGGGTCAGTTATAGGAATCTGTCCTACTGTGCTGCATTTCACAATATCATAAAAGCAAAGAATGAAGCCATTTAAGCCCATAATGGCTGTAGCAACAAGCAAGAAAATTTAAATTGAAACTTTATATTTTGTTTTAGAACTGCAGGTTTTACAGGCATAACCTATTAGCCCCATCTATCTCAGTTGACCTATTTAAATCAGACTTATTAGTGACCTTCATTTTTAAAAAGTCACAACATATATTGATTATAGTTGAGGGAACTAATCATAATATCAACAGGTTTGCAAACAGCACAAAGCTGGGTGGGAGGGTGAACTGTGAGGAGGATGCAGAGATGCTTCAGTGTGATTTGGACAAATTGAGTGAGTGGACAAATACATGGCAGATAATGTATAATGAGGATAAATGTGAGTTACTCACTTTGGTAGCAAAAACTGGAAAGCGGGTTATTATCTGAATGGTGATAGTTTGGGAAAGGGGGCATTGCAATGAGACCTGGGTGTCCTTGCACACCAGTTGCTCAAAGTAAGCATTGCAGGTGCAGCAGGTGGTGAAGAAGGTAAATGGTCTGTTGGACTTCATGGTGAGAGGGTTCGAGTCCAGGAGCCCAGGAGCAGGGACGTCTTGCTGCAATTGTACAGGGCCTTGGTGAGACCACACCTGGAGTACTGTGGGCAGTTTGGGTCTCCTTATGTTGAGGAAGGATGTTCTGGTGATGGAGGGAGTGCAACAAATGTTTACCAGACTGATTCCTGGGATGGCAGGACTGACATATGAAGACAGACTGGATTAGTTAGGACTATATTCACTGGGGTTTAGATGAATATGGGGAGATCTCACAGAAGCCTATAAAACTCTAACAGGACTAGACAGGGTAGATGCAGGAAGGATGTTCCTGATGACCGGGGAATCGAGAACTAGGGGATACAGAGCAGGCATTTAGCCCTGAGATGAGAAATTTCTTTGCCCAGGGAGTGGGGAGCCTGTGGAATTCTCTACCATAGAAAGTGGTTGAGGCCAAAACATTGAATATTTTCAAGAAGGAATTATATATAGTTCTTAATGCTAAAGGGATCATAGGGTAGGGGGAGGAAGCAGGATCATAGGGTATGGGGAGGAAGCAGGAGCAGGGTCTGAGTTGGATGATAAGTCACAATTATATTGAATGGCAGAGAATGCTCAAAGGGCTGAATGGCCTTCTCCTGCTCCCATTTTCAATGTTTCTTTGTAACTTTTCTAAGCCTGCACTTAGCTGAAGTAAATAAGCCTGAAGCTTGGAGCCTTTCTGCAAAATATTAAAGTTTAACATCAATACCACTAGGCGATATTTTCAGTGCAGGGATTGAAATCTGTAGCATTTCTATCTGTCCTGCAGATATAAAAACCTCTATCCTCAAAATTGGACTGTATCTAAATACTAGGCAGACAGTCACCTAAATGCATAAACCTCTTTCTGATGCTATGAGGCGCAAACTAAACAAAATCTAATAAATGTTCCACTCAGACAAACATTTATTATGTCTAGGATGCCATTGATGGGCATACAGCCAATACAAGTGGTTGCCTGTGAAGGGTCTTTGTGCATTTACAAGATGAAGTTGTGGAAAAACATACCGGAGGTGTTATGATGGAATGGAAAAGGAAAGCTTCGCAACAATATTTATTCCAATGCATGCATTGTGATTTTCCAAACCACCTTACCACATGCTAAATACACAAAGACCTCAACATAAAAATATTACAGCTCACGTATTCCACAGCATTCTACTAAATATAGTTCTCAGAGAGACCAATCCAATGAATGATGATATTATCTGAACACTCAGAGGAACACATCATATCAGCTTGGCTCAATTTGGTACTGTTTCTGTTCTATGTCAGAAATGTGGATTCAAGCCGCCATCGAATAAGGGCACGTAATTGGGAATGACAGTTCAATGGAGTACTGTTTTATCAGCAATATTACTCATAAAAGTCCCATCTCCCTGTTCAGTTTGACTTCAAAGATTCCCCAGCACTGCTTATAGAGGAGGAAGCTTGCCCAGTGCCTTAGCCAATATTCCAGTTTTACCCAACATTTCTCAAAAATAAACAGATTAACTGATTTTATTGGTGCTTTTAGGATGTGCCTCACCAACATCCTGTAAAACTACGGGCAAAACATATAAGACCATAAGATATACTGTAGGAGCAGAATTAGGTAGAGCCCATCGAGTCTGCTCTACCATTTGATCATGGCTGATATGTTTTTCAACCCCATTTTCCTGCCTTCTCCCCATAACCCTTGATCTGTGACTAATCAAGAACCTATCTCTGACTTAAACATACTCAGTGACTTGCCCTCCATAGCCCTCTGCAGCAATGAGTTCCACAGATTGACCATCCTCTGACTGAAGAAATTCCTCTTCATCTCAGTTCTAAAGGGTTGTTCCTTCACTCTGAGGCTGTGCCCTCTGGTCTTAGTCTCTCCTATTGATGGAAATATTTTCTCCACATCCACTCTATCCAGGCTTCTCAGTATTCTGTAAGTTTCAATGAGACCCCCACCACAAATTCCTTCTAAAGTCATTCTTGTACAGACCCAGTATCCTCAACCTCTCCTCATATGACAAGCTGTTCAATACATGGGGTCATTCTTGTAAACACAGTCTTCCATCACTTTCTCTTTTGATTGGAACTTAAAGAGGGCATTTTTGCTATTGTTAAATCAAAGTCCTTACGATTACCAGAAATCCTGTAGACACTGGAAAAACTGCACCAGAAATGCGACACCAATGTATAGAAACCCAATTTAACATAATAAACATAGAGCCACCTCTTGCCACTCCGATAGAACTGTTGCGTTTAATTCTCGGTGGAGAACCTTTCTGCTTGAGTCAAATTATTCTGATCTTTGGTCAGCTTTAGAAAGCTGCTCCCAATATTTGAGCAGATTTTCGTTCGTTCGTGAAATGTTGTGCCAAAAGTAAATCTTATCAAAGTGTAATTACAGTAACATGTTAAAAAAAATCTCAGGATGTGGGCATCACTAGCGAGATAACCACATTACCTACCCTGAGTTACCCTAACTGACCTGCTGGACCACTTCAAACCGTAGTTTAGAGTGCAATGTCGAGACGGACTGCGACATCAGCCAGGCCTCTGGATTATTACTCCAAATATATCCCCATTTCACTGCTACAACTACGCTACCGGGTGCCCACCGATTAGAAGCACAATACACAATCTGAAAACTCACAGCAGTTGGTCCAAGGATTTCCCAGAGGCTATCAGTCTGGGTGTTACAACCGTCCACTGCAATCGCGTTATTTGTAGCCCATTTCCCCCGTACCAAGCCCAGTCTTCGCTTCCACACACA